GGCAAAGGATTGATTGGGGTGGAGAACCCAGTTGAGAAGATCATAATGAGCAGATCCCAGTCCATTTTCTGAGAAGGAGACCTCATGTCCAGCACTGTTGTTGAACTGCACATTCCTCAAATGGGGAAGAATCTGAAACGAAAGAGACCTTCTGAAATTGGACTAATCAGCTGAAAGCCACAAATGAGACATCATGGCTTCTATCATTCTGGGATAGGAGATGGGTGTATGTTTGAGAAGCCAGAAGAGTTTTCTTGGTGGAGATCGAGCAATCAGGAGTAACAAAAAAATTGACTCTTATCCCAATATGAGAAACATTTCTCTTTATTATGCTGCATATTTTTTATTTTTTTATTTTATTTGTCAAACACATAAGATAAGAGATATAACTATAAACATGATTATGAATACATGAAATGGATACAAATAAAAGGGGGACGGTAGGACAGGGACGGTAGGCACGCTAGTGCACTTATGCGCGCCCCTTACAGACCTCTTAGGAATGGAGTGAGGTCAACAGTAGGCAGTCTAAGGTTAAAGTTTTGGGGGTTTGGGGAAGAAACCACAGAGTCAGGTAGTGCATTTCAGGCATTGACCACTCTGTTGATGAAGTCATATTTTTTTGCAATCAAGTTTGGAGCAGTTTACCTTAAGTTTGTATCTATTGTGTGCTCATGAATTGTTGTGGTTGAAGCTGAAGTAGTCATTGACAGGTAGGACATTGTGGCACATAATTTTATGTATTACACTTAGATCAGATTGAAGGCAGTGTAGTTCTAAGTTGTCTAAGACCAACATTTCAACATTGGTGGCATAAGGTATTTTATTGTGAGCAGAGGAGTGGAGGATATTGCTTGTGAAATATCTCTGGACTCGCTCAGTTGTATTGATGTCTGATATGCAGTGTGGGTTCCAGACAGATGAGCTGTATTCGAGAATTGGTCTAGCAAAGGTTTTGTATGCAATAGCTTGCAGTACAATATTACCAGAGAAGAAGTTTCGCAAAATTAGGTTAACAACTCTTAATGCCTTTTTGGCAATGCTATTACAGTGAGCTCTGGCACTTAGATCATTAGAGATGTGTGTGTGTGTGTATATATGTGTGTGTGTGTATGTATGTGTATGTGTATATGTATATGTATCATGGCTACTTCAACTTTAGTTCTACCAAATTATACCTATATACAAAGATTTTAATGCCACATAGCAAATATCATTGTGTGGTTTTGCTCCCGTGATAGTTGTCTATGCATTTTAGGAATACATAAATAATTTCTATCACAATAGTGTAAAATTCCACTGACTTTCTCTAACTGACATTGAAGGAGAGCAGCATGGAGCAATCAGGTCCAAACAAATGGGGCCATATGGAAAGAAGAATCTGTCCTGGTTTGTCACTTTGCTACCCAGGAATATCCAACCTTTAGTCCTTGATGCCAAAAGCCTGATGAATTTCAGACCAGAAACCTGTTATGATTACTTGGAGTCATATTCTGTGTTCCGAAGGCTACTTTCACACAACAAGTTGAGTTGGTTGAAAAGATTAGCCAGTGATATCACTGACTCCTTTCATGTTCCCCTGGCAAGAACTGGAGTGAAGGACAAGAGCTCAACCCATCCCATGGCAGCTCTTGAGTTGCGAACATGGGCTTCCTCACCTCCTGCCCAGTGTTCCAACCACTTGAGCCACCATGTTCCTATAAACCAAGGTGAAACTGATGACACCCAGCTGTACATCTCCACCCCAGGCCACCCCAATGATGCCCTTGAAGTGATGTCCCAGTGCCTGGAGGCTGTGCGGATCTGGATGGGGAGGAACAGGCTCAAGCTCAACCCTTCCAAGACTGAGTGGCTGTGGCTCCTGACATCCCGATATAGTCAGTTGACTCCATCACTGACTATTGGGGGTGAGTCTTTGGCCCCCACAGAGAGGGCTCGCAATCTGGGAGTCCTCCTGGATATGCAGCTGTCCTTGGAGGAACATCTGACGGCTGTAACCAGGGGGACCTTTTGTCAGGTTCGCCTGATTCACCAGTTGCGGCCCTTTCTTGATCGGGATTCCCTGTGCACAGTCACTCATGCCCTCATCACCTCTCACCTTGACTACTACAACGCTCTCTACATGGGGCTTCCCTTGAGGGGCACCGGGAGGCTCCAGCTGGTCCAGAACGCAGCAGCGCGGGTAGTGATGGGAGCAGCATGGCATTCCCATGTAACTCCGCTCCTGCGTGAGCTGCACTGGCTCCCGGTGGTCTTCCGGGTGCGCTTCAAGGTGTTGGTCATCACCTTTAAAGCGCTCCATGGCATTGGGCCTAGCTATCTCCGAGACCGCCTGCTGCTACCGATGACCTCCCATCGACCCATGCGCTCCCACAGAGAGGGCCTCTTCGGGGTGCCATCAGCCAAACAATGTAGGCTGGTGACCCCCAGGGGGAGGGCCTTCTCTGTGGGGGCACCTACCCTCTGGAATCAGTTGCCCCCAGAGATAAGGAGAATCCAAGACCTCAGTGCCTTCCGCTGTGCCCTTAAAACCCACTTTTTCCAGCAAGCCGGGCTGGCTTAAGAAGAAATTTTTAAATGTTTTAATTGGTTTGTGATTTTTAATTTTTGGGCCAAGTTTATATATATATTAATTGTTTTTTAATATTTGTATTTCATGTTCTTAATTCTGGCTGTACACCGCCCTGAGTCCTCAGGGAGAAGGGCGGTATATAAATTGGAAATAAATAAATGAATAAATAAATGGAATAATTGGTTTGTTTATAGGCACAAGGCAGGTGATGAATTCAGAATGTAAGCCCTCCAATAGATCTTAAAAATAGAAAATGTGATCCCTGAAGATGGGAATATTATTTTAACCACTAGTTGAAGCCAGAAAACATTGTGTGTTCTGTTTGTCTTTCATTTATTTGGACCATCTTGCCCAAATATTACGGCCAAAAGTGAAGAGTGTAAAAGTGCAAATCCGTGCTTTTCTGTTGGTGGCCCTGCTTTTTTCTGGAGTAACTTCGCCCCAGAAATGGGATCTTCTCCCATGTCCCACAAGCTATTAAAACAGAATTATTCTGAAATGAATTTGAGTTTCTGAAGTTGCTGTCAATTGTATTGGTTCTATAATTATTTAATTAACTGCAGTGTTGGGTTAGTGTCAGGGTTCCAAGTAACACACTCAACAGAATCAAAACTCCAAGGCAGGCGTATTCTTCAAAGTATAGATTTATTAGGTATGTCATATTGGCACATCTGGGGAAACCCGACTCTAACCCCCTCCCCTTAGGTTTCCCCCTAGTTAAAAGTAATGTTTTCCTTTCCCTGCCCATACAGTCCATCACATGGTCCAATCAGGTCACAGTCCAAAGGTCACTTGGACTCAGATCCCACCTCCTCACACCTGGTGGGAAAGTCCTTAGTTCTCAGAGGAAAGAATTTTATTTTGGCTACAATCCCCAGCTATCTCTATCTCTCCCCTCCTGTTCCCATAGATCAACTCATCTCCAATGTGGCAGCCCTGGAGATGCCAAGGGACAATGGCTCCAGGACTGACATGCAGACTCATTTTTATTAGGAAACATAGCCAAAACTAGTTTCCAAAGAAACTAGGGCTTCTTGTAAATTGTTCACTCTATTTCTCCATCAAACAATTATCTTGATATTTGATACCATATATAAAAATATCCATTCTCAACCCTCTGAATGGTCTATATTTTCCTCAATCTCAGGCCTTCTACCAGAGACCTGGCAGTTGGAGGGCTCTAAACAGTATTTTAGCACTTCCTAGCACTGCCCTCTTTTGGACAGAGAGTTCTGCTGTTGTTTTGGGGATCTGTTGGAGCCACTATCCCAATTTAGGAGTCCCAGGCCCAAGTGTTTCTACCATAACTGAAACCACTTTGGCCTTGACTTTCCATATCTTCTCTAGTTCCTCCTTCAGGCCTTGGTCCTTCCCCAGCTTCTCATGCTCCTTCTTCCTGATGTTGCTGTCAGTCAACACTACTGTGTCTATCACCAGCATTGTCTCCTTGTCAATGACCACTATATATGCTTGACTGGCCAATAGCAATAGCACTTAGACTTATATACCACTTTACAGCCCTCTCTAAGCAGTTTACAGAGTCAGCATATTGCCCCCAACAATTTGGGTCCTCATTCCAAGGTCTACCTTGGAAGGATGGAAGGCTGAGTCAACCTTGAGCCTGGTGAGATTTGAACTGCCAAATTGCAGGCAGCCGGCAGACAGCAGAACTTTACTATACATTGCTTTTGTATCTATTCTCTAAGCATTGATAAAATAAATTCCATATATTATAATAATCAGTTTCTTCCTTCCCTCTAATTGCAAGTGTTAATCTATTCATTGCTACACATTCCAATATTTTCTTAATCACATTTTCATCTGTAGGAATCTCTTCACCTTTTCAATTCTATGCAAATACAATTCTAGCCACCGTTATTACAAGAATAATTAAGTATACAATTTCTTCACTATAATTCCTTGGTAAAATCCCCAATAGAAATATTTCAGGTTTTACATCAATATACTGCTGCATCATCTTCTCCAACCACATACAAATTGTTGCCCAGTATTTTTTTACATCTACACATGTCCACCACATATGATAATAAGTTCCTGTGTCTGACGACGTTTCCAACATTTAATTGATTTATCTTTAAACATTTTTGCCAATCTTTCAGATGACAAGCGCCATCTATAAAACATGATACAAATTCTTCTTGTATTCAGTAGACATTGTTAATTTATAATTTCTTAAGGAGAAATGTTTTAGCATAATTTAAATTGTACTATACCAAATCTCAAATGTAATATAGAAGGAATTTCAAACAGGGAATTAAAATGATATATCTTTGCACTGATATGATTGTACAATATTTTCATAATTTTTAATCATTGGAAGAACAAGCCCCTCATCATTGCTAAGATATGACATCAAATTTAAAAAATGCCCCAAAGTCAAAATAAAAGTTACTACTTTACACATAAATCAGAGATTTTTGCGCCTCATTATATTTTCTCTCTGATTCAGATCAGGCCTCAATAGGATAATATAACACTTGGGAGAAAAGATGCAAGCCAAGAGACCAACTGCAGAGGCCAAGATGGAGAAGATTTCCACAGCCACCATGGACTTCCCTTTGGTGCTCAGGTAGGTGGGGAGGAAAGTGATCCAAACACTGCAAAAGACCAGCATGCTAAAAGTAATGAACTTGGCTTCATTAAAGCTGTCAGGCAATTTCCTAGCCAAAAAGGCCATCATGAAACTGATAAGAGCTAGGAAACCCAGATAGGCAAGGACAGTATAAAACATTGAAGTTGAGCCTTCATTGCATTCCAAGATTGTCTCTCCTATCAAGGTGTGGAAATCCAATTTAGGAAACGGGGGAGAGGTTATCAACCAGATGGCACAAAGAACCACTTGGACCAGGGGACAGGCTAAGACAATGGAGTTGGTCAGTGATTTTCCTAAGAATTTCCTTGTCTTGTTCCCCGGCTTGGTAGCCATGAAAGCCAGAACCACCATGACAGTTTTGGCCAATACAGAAGAAACTGCAAGAGAAAAAAGAATGGCAAAGGCAGTTTGTCGGAAGAGACAGGTGAGCTTCCTGGGTTGACCAATGAAGAGGAAAGAGCAGAGGAAGCAGAGCAGGAGGGAGACCAGGAGGAGGTAGGTGAGATCTCGGTTATTGGCCTTGACGATCGGTGTGTCACGATGCTTATGGAAAATTGCCAGGACTGCCGATGTGATCAAAGAGAGAGAAAGAGTAAGAGATGCTAAAGTATATCCCAGGGTATCTTCATAGGAAAGGAAGTGGATCTTCTTGGCAATGCAGTGATTCTTGTCCTTGTTGGGATATTGGTCTTCTGTGCAAGGGACACAGTGAATAGCATCTAAAATCAAGAATTCAAATATTTGACTGAAGAGTCCAGGCACATCTACCATAAGCATCATTTCTCATTAGTTATTCCTCTTTGCCTCTACTGTGGCCTGACTGTCCCCTTTCTGTTCTGGCAAATTCACAAAGAAATTGATGGAATGACACAGGGTGATCAAAAAAGGCAATTCTTTCTCTATTATTGATGGTGCTTTGACTAAGTTAGCCAGAAAGTTCAAATCCAGCTATCCTGGTCTGTTTTGTTTTCTTTTAACGACCCCATAATCCCTTGCAGGGTGGAGTCTGGGAAACTGAATGGAGCTAACACAATGTTTAATGGCCGGATGCCCTTCCTGTCACCAATGCAGAGTTTTGTTCAGCAGATATATATTCTCATTGTGCCCAGAGAGAGAAATATCTGCCTCTACCTGGGATCAAACTCACAGCCTCCTGATTGTGAGGCAAGAGCTCCACCTCTAGGCCACTGCAACACTCCTTAGCCTGGTCTGTTTGCTGTGAGAAAAAAAAATGCAATTTCTAATCACTGGGACCTTCCATGACTATTGTGGCTTTTAGTATTTGAGAAAAATTGCCATTTCTTCCCCAATTTTATTTCCTATCACCCAGAAATGCTACTTTTTTGTATATTTGTGCGTTATTTTTGTGATTGAGAAGATCTAAAATGCAACAGAGAAGGATATAAAAATATCTACTGAGTTTCAGGAGTAGGAAAAATCTCTTTGCCAAACCAAAGATGATTTATAGAGAAATTGATTACAGGAGGAAGAGAGGAAATAATGATCCAGAAGCACTACAGCTCTGAGAGCTGTTTGGCTCAAATTTTCCACTTTGTACTTCAAATCGGTTGATTCAGATTTTTATTCTTGTTGCAGGGAAGGATTGGCAGCCCCCAGACAGATGGATTTCCTGTTCCTCTGACAGATCTATCAATTTCATAGGTAACTGATAGTGCTGACAGAAGATGCATACTCTAAAGATTAAAAAAAATAACTTAACACGGAGTGGTAGCTATTTTTCCGAAAGGGACATGATATTACAATGCATGAAATTCTTGAGGAGTGAGAGACGGGGACTATGTGGACAGGACAATTTAAAACAATAAACTGTAACATCCTGCTGTAAACTATGAATATTTGGACATATGTCAATCCTATAAAAATGACAACAATCTTAAAATTTTGTTTTACTGAATGACTTCCGCAATATGGCAAGATCTGTTTTTAACATTTGCTCTACCTGTCTGATTAGAAATGGTGCCTTCTGGACAAGGGGCACATTGGTAGCAGCAAACCTGCTTGCCCTCTGGAACACTTTTCCTCTCTCCTGCCTGGCACCTCTTCATGCCACACCTGGCAAAGGGCACAGTCTAAAAGAAAAGATAAATACTTGAGATAGCCTCAGCAATGAATATGCTTCCTATGTTCATTTGTACATTTTGGTTTCCATCATCGGAATGTCTTCAAAAGAAATGGTTAACTAGGGTCTATCAGAAAAAGACAGGAAAAGCTATGGAGGGATTAAGTCCACTGGAAACCTGATTCATTTATTCTGAGCCATGGTGGCACAGTGGTTAGAATGCAGTACTGCAGGTTACCTCTGCTGACTACCGGCTGACTGCAATCTGGCAGTTGGAATCTCACCAGGCTGAAGGTTGACTGAGCCTTCCATCTTTCTGAGGTGGGTAAAAATGAGGATCTGAAATTGTTGGGGTCCATAGGCTGACTCTGTAAACCGCTTAAAAAGGGCTGTAAAGCATTGTAAAGAAGCACATAAGTCTATGTGCTGGTAGCACATAAGTCTATGTGCTGGTAGCACATAAGTCTATGTGCTGGTAGCACATAAGTCTATGTGCTTGGTAGTACAGTGGTCTAAAGCACCCTGTTATTAACACCAGCTGCCTGCAATTACTGCAGTTTCGAATCTCGCCAGGCTCGAGGTTGACTCAGCCTTCCATCCTTTCTAAGGTAGGTAAATTGAGGACCCAGTTGTGGGGGCAATAAGATGACTTTGTATAAATATACAAAAGGATGAAGGCTATTGCTTAGCATATTGTAAGCCGCCCTGAGTCTCCGGAGAAGGGCGGCATATAAATCAAATTAAAAAAAAAAATTGAAGTAAAGCCTTCAAAGGAAATGGTTCAACTGAGCTTCCCAGAAACCAAAACCAGCTGATTTAGGCCAGTGACATTCCCAACCCTACAATGGAATCGGAAGATTGGAACAGGGACCTAGGACCTAGCTATTCTGACCTAGGCTTCCTTAAAAAGCATGAAGCAGAGTCTTGGTCCCGGCCAAACCCCTTTTATTTACACGACTGTGAATTCCTTTTGTTCACAGTCAGCAAGACTTGTCAAACAGTCTCTCAAAGGAATATTTATCAACACAAACCTTATCTTGCTTGGAAAGCTGCCAGATAACTAGTTTCCAAACACAGTGTAAGGCAAAACTTGGCACAGAGTTTCTTAGCGTAACGAACAGAACTTTCCACTCTTGAAACGACCGAATGAGTGAATTGTTTCCTGCAAAAGCCAACTCCTCCTCATTCACTCCTCTTTTGTTTCTTATGGGACGGACCAATCACCTCCAAGGTGTGGTTTTATTCCCAAGTCGACCCTCCTTTCTTAGTTCTTCTTGTCTTCTGGCAGCTCTGCGCATGCACACACTGGAAACAGGCTCCAGCTGTTCCTCTGCCTCACTGCTGTCTAGCTCCCTCTCTGCCTTCAACACAGAGCCCTCGTCCGAGCTTTCCTCAGCCCTCAGGACTGGCCCATGTTCCTCCCCAACCTCCTCACTGTCCGACTCTGCTGCCAACTCCACTGGCCACCAGCAGGCTGCAACACTAGGAGGCCTTGTGGCATTAAGATGCAGCCTTTATGAAACAATTAATGATGAGGATCAAAATGAACAGTGTGAGAGAAACAAGTTCTTGGAGGGATGGGAGGGAGTGAGAAAATAGAAACAGGAGAAATGGGTTCTAATTGAGGCATCATTGAAGTACTTGTTTCTCAGTACGCTTTATCAAATTTTCTATGGCAACATCATTGATATGCTTCTTTTAATTAAGACAATAATTCTTCCTTGGGGATAGTAACAGCAGAAAGGTGTAGTCCAGGGGTGTCAATCTCGATTTCATTGAGGGCTGCATCAGGGTTGGGTTTGACCTTGGGGGTCCCGGATGGGCATAGCCAGAGTGGGTGTGGCCAGCTCGACGTCACTCATGTCAGGGGCAGCTGTGGTGGCCTGAGCGCTCTGGCAGTGAAAACAGGCTCCCGAGCTCTTTTTTTGACTGTGACGGCTTCCTGAAATCCTCTGCCAACAAAAATGGAGTTTGTAAGGGCCCCCCTGAACTCAATTTTCACTGGCAGAGGCACCAAAGGCCATCCCTTCACTGTTTCCAGGGTGTCCCCGCGGGCCAGGTCTAAGCATCCAGGCCTTGAGTTTGACTCCCCTGTGTAGAAGTAACTTGAGTTTTGCTAAATATGAATATCCATGGTTATATCATTGATTACCTATGCATATTTATTTATTTATTTATTTATTTATTTATTTATATTTTTATACCGCCCTTCTCCCGCAGGACTCAGGACGGTGCACAGCCAAAATAAAACATAGTATACAAAAATTAAAAACAATTTAAAAACAATTAAATAATTTTGGCCCAAATAATTTAAAACAACCCAATTAAAACCGAATCAATTAAAACTGAGAGGATGGGATCAAGCCAGCCCGGCTAGATGGAATAAGTGTGTTTTCAGGGCCCGACGAAAAGTCCGGAGGTCTGATATTGTGCGTATCTCAGGGGGTAGGTCATTCCAGAGGGCTGGTGCCGCCACAGAGAAGGGTCTCCCCCTGGGGGTCACCAGCCGGCACTGTCTGGCCGACGGCACCCTGAGGAGGCCCTCTCTGTGCGAGCGAACCGGTCGGTGGGAGGCTATTGGCGGCAGAAGGCAGTCTCGCAAATACCCCGGCCCTAAGCCATGGAGAGCTTTAAAGGTGGTCACCAACACCTTGAAGCGCACCCGGAAGACCACAGGAAGCCAGTGCAGCTTGCGCAGGAGAGGTGTCACGTGGGAGCGCCCCGTCGCTCCCATAATCCCCCGCGCGGCTGCATTCCGGACCAACTGCAGCCTCCGGGTGCACCCCAAGGGGAGCCCCATGTAGAGAGCATTGCAGTAGTCCAGGTGGGAAGTGACGTGATGAATGTATGACTATCATTTTATTCTCCTTTCCTGAAATTTATAAATATGAGTGAATCCTTTTATCTGTAGGAACTCCACCTATTGTTTACTCCAGTGTACACTATTAAAGGGATGCGGTACCTCACTGGCTAAGATGCTGAGCATGTCGATTGAAAGATTGGCAGTTCAGGGGTTTGAATCCCTAGTGCCACATAACAGGGTGAGCTCCCATTATTTGTCCCAGCTTCTGCCAATGTAGCAGTTCGAAAGCACATAAAAAAATGCAAGTAGAAAAATCGGGACCACCTTTGGTGGGAAGGTAACAGCATTCCGTGCGCCTTTGGCATTTAGTCATGCCGGCCACATGACCACGGAGATGTCTTTGGATGTCTTCGGCTTAGAAACAGAGATGAGCACTGCCCACTAGAACGAGTGGGCAGATACTCCGGAACGAGTAGCACATATGTGCAAGGGGAACCTTTACCTTTACACTATTAAATTCTGCAGTGAGAATTGGTTACTGGTTTTGGTGTCCTGTGTTTGATTCCAAAATAGGATTAGTCGATAGAAATAAATGTTGGCCACCTTAATGGCATCCTGGCCTTCAACAAGTTCTTTCCAATCCTTTGTCGATCAGAAAGGTTGGCAGTTCGGCCGTTCGAATCCCTAATACAGGGGTTGGACTAGATGACCGCCAAGGTCCCTTCCAACTCTGTTACTGTTACTAATCCCAACCCTTTATGCCACAAATCAGGTCCGAAATGTATTACATGCAAAACAGGTTTTCACCAAATAGCTGCCATATTTTATGATTCAATAGACTTTTTTTCAGTTAGAAGGATGTTTTGAAGAGAACAACATGGCTCAAGGTTGACTCAGCCTTCCATCCTTTCGAGGTAGGTAAAATGAGGACCCGGATTGTGGGGGCAATAAGCTGACTTTGTATAAAAAAAGAACACTGCTTGGGAGGGGGGGGCGAAAGCCCTACTAAGCAGGTATATACAAAAGTATGAAGGCTATTGCTTTAACACATTGTAAGCCGCCCTGAGTCTCCGGAGAAGGGCGGCATATAAATTGAACTAATAAATAAATAAATAAATAAATAAATAAATAAATAAATAAATAAATAAATAAATAAACAAACAAACATCTTTCCCTGAATTTACATCAATGCCTTTCAACTCACCTTCATGGCCCAGATGATTGCATCAGAGTTAATGGTGAAATCCTGGCCTGGGGGAGCCCCAGGATCAACTTGTCCAACTTTCACAAGAATAATTGATTTATTAGGGAGGAAAACCCAGTTGAGGAGATCATAACCAGCAGATGCCAGTCCATCTTCTGAGAAGGAGACTTCTTCTCCAGCACTGTTGTTGAACTGCACATTCCTCAAATAGGGAAGAATCTGAAGCAAGCAAGACCTTCAGAAATTGGAATATTTGACTTGGAGCCACCAATGAGACATCACGGCTCCTCCCATTCTATTATGGCCCTCATTTTCACAGACTGGTTTATGTTTGAGAAGCTTGTGGAATTATCTTCATGGAGATTTGAGCAATCAGGAGTAATGCCAAATGCTTAGCTACTTCGCCAACACCACAAAGGTTTGCTATTGCAATTGGGCCTTTGTATCAATGGCAGTTTCAACTCCACTTTAAACAAATGCTTCCTACCTGCAAAGATTATAACACCTCACTCCACAGTTCATTGTTTGGCTTTCCTCATGCTTTACTTGGCTAAATACATTTTAAAAACTGTACTTTGGACCAAGGACTTACAAACGACAAATGCATTTTAGGAATGATTGAATAATTTATTTCAAAACGGAGTGCAATTCTCCAGATTTTCTCTATTGACAAAGAAAGCAGAATGCAGGAATTGGATCTGACTAAGTGAGGCCATGTGGACGAAAATGTCTACCATGGATGGTCGTGGATTGTCTGAGAAGCTCCAACATTTAGTCTTTGATGTAAAAAAAAGTTTGATAAATTTTACACCAGGAATAGATTGGATTCAGGCTACATCCTGAGAGAAACTGAGGCGCTTCTAAGTGTTCTGTCCCCGTTCCACTCATGCACCCCCACAGACGGCCCAGAGTTAATAAGCCACACGACAAAATTCTTTGAAAATAAAGCTGGCAGCAACCCAGTGGCTAGCTGCCAATTCAGACTTTACTCACACAAAACAAAGATTAGCCTGCCAGCATTCCGATAAAACAGGCAGAGTTTTCAACAATACAAGGATTAATCCAAATGCAGTCCGATAAAGCAGGCAAAGTCCAGTAACGCAAAAATCATGGATTAGTTCTAGTTTTTGCTCATCACAAACTGAACCGACCACCACACCCACATTTATACCCTGTGGGGTGTGGTCCAGTGACTCAGCTAATCTCTGGCATGCCTTCCCCTCTGTTGTGCATGCTTCTCCCTGTGCCTCTGGCGAGGGTCCAGCCAGCACTTATCTCCTTCATCACTGTCCACCTGTGGCTGCAGGGATGTGCTTGGCTCTGAGCTTATCTTTTGGCCTTCGGTGTCCTCCGGAGGCATTGCTAGAGAGGAGCGTCCTAGAGAGGGAGGCCTTGCCAACTCCTCTTCCTCACTCTCAGAGTCTGCATCTGTCGATAGCCCAGGCTCAGGCAACGGAGCCACAACACTAAGAAAGGTGCCCCCTAGGACAAGATCTACCCTATTGGATCATTTTGCACCCAGATGGTCATCTTGCTCTGGGCTGACAGCATGAAACAGTCACTGTCAGGATTCAGAGTAATAATCCCATATTAAGCAAAATTCTGAGGCAGGTGAAGTCCTCAAGGAATAGCTTTATTGGAAATTTCATATTGGCACAGATCTGGTGAAAACCAACTTCAGCCAACTTCAGGGTTGACAGTCACTTCCTGAAATTCAGGCAACCATAGAAGAGTTTTCAGGACCTTATATGAAGATATTTCCCCTATGAACCTTATGGATGATCAGTTTGATTTATCTGTTTCCCCTTGTCCCTTTTCATCCAAACATTTGACTTCGTTCATAGTGTTATTTTTTTTTCCTAATTGCTGTTTTAACCTGTTCTGGTGAACACTGATATGGTAGCATACAGATATTTAATGAGTAATTCCAAAAATACTTATGGGAAACTTCACCTCTAAGGATCTGTGGACTGGATAAAAAGTCACAAAGATTACCTGCCATGGCTGGATATTTGAAATCTTCTTTCCAAGCTTCATCCTGGCTGGCCGTCCTCCAGCTTCATAGATTGCATGTAATGCGTGTGCCAGAGCATGAATGGCATTGTAGATGTTGTAACTTTCACCAGTCATGCTTCTTTCAAACAAGAAAAATGGTACATTTTGTATATTCTCCTTCCCAGTACAGATTTTCGTCCCTGGTGAATAAAATATACCTGGTTTGCGGAATTGGCACTCAAAGACACTTTCCCACCATAACGGGAGAAACATATCCCCTTGTGGGTTCAAGGGACTTAAAGAAAGGATGAAATTCCTGAATTCTGAGATGTCACCCGTGTGGTCCCTAAAATGCAAAGTCCCATGCAAGTGCTTTAGATTTTGCCATAGATCTACATTTTCCATTACACCGGGTTTCCAAGAGGAAGTTAGGATCCAAACGTTTTGAGGTGGTTCTGTTTCATGAATTATATAAACCTCGAAACTCCACTGAAAAAATTCAACAGTAGCAGAATCTCCAAAGAAAACAGTGACGTCAACTTTAAGTGACATTTTGAAATATAAAAGGAACTTCTCCATATCTTCAAAAATTGTCAGCCTTTCAGTGAAGGCCAGGCAGATCTCCTTTTCTTTGAGCATTGGCATCAGAGTTGAAATGAAATGTTCTCCAATGTCATTTTTAGAAGCCAGAATCCCAACCCAGTTCCACTGGAAATACAGAAGCAACTGGACTAAACCCACATACTGAGAAAATTCCTTGGCATTAATCTGGAAGAAGGAAGGATAAATTCTTCTGTCTCCTTGAGCGGATTCAAAGCCAACACTGAGCTGGAGAAAATGAGAATCTTCTTTAAAAGACAAAGCAAAATTTGATGGTGATTTTAGGGGTCCCCATTGTGTCGTTTATTGTCCCCCATCAGTCAGGCTGAGTCATTTTGAGAGATAAGCTTCTTAGCTTCTTAGCTTCTTAGGATGAGCCATCAATTATCAAATTTGCAGAGTTGTGACATGTCAGAATCCAAGGGAACAAACCATCAAACAATGTTACATGAAACATATCTTGACACATACAATACTAAAATGAATCCAAGTATAGTATCAATTCTCTAAATCACATATTTTTCAATCCACCCCCACCCCCAAAATACCTTTGGTATCATCTTGCACTTCTGTATATTTGTCTACTCCATAACTGTATATCTCAAGAAGCCCCCTTACCTGTGGGACCTTGAAGAGGCTGAAGATGGAGGCCATCACCATTGAGGATTTGCCATTGTCACCTCCAATGACAGAGAAGAAGGTGTCCTGCTGGTCACATTTATAACCTGGGACCATTTGGTCTCGTGTGGAGAGCAAAAAGAGGCTGATTAAAGAAATCCTCCTATCCCACTGGACATTGTCATACATGTGGAAGCCCAGCGTGATGTTGGGGAGGAGAACCAGATCCTTGTTGATCTCTCTGACTGCAAACACCAAGGCCAGGAACTGATGGTAGTTGTTGGGAATGGCTCTATAGTAACAGAAACATTGTGAAATATTAGAGGAAAGCTTGTGTGTCCTTGTGGAGTTTGCCTTGTCTTTGGTTCTTGCGGGGTTTACTTTGGAGCAGGAAGTCCAAAATATTAATAGTTTTTTAAATGTTTTTGAATAAACCTGAATGGATTTGTGAGAAAGGAGAAAAGCCTGTCTATCCAAATCACAGACTATTTTATATCCCTCTATCATCCATCCTTCTTCACTTTGCTTCAGTATCTGTAATTCTACCCAATTTCTCCTGTAGTAGCCTAATCAATTTTATTCCCTCTTGGAGCAACTTCTTTTTTTTTATTATTATTAAACTTTATTAAGGTTTTTAAAAAACAAAAGAGAAATAAAAAGAAAAAACAAACATTCAAACAATAACATAAAACACATAAACATAATATACATTTTCAGTTTGTATCGGATGTGCAGTGTTTTAACTATTTACATAGATAATACTTGGTGACATTTTAACTCACTTTTAACCATTATTTAACACACCTTTAGATCTTTCTTTCATTTTATCATGCAACCACTTGTACCACCTTTCCCACACCATATAGTAAACTGACTTTTCATCATTTAATTCATAGGTTAATGTAGTCATCTCTGCGCACTCGAGTATTTTCTTAATTGTAAGCTCTTCTGGTGGTTGAATTTTCTCTTTCCAATACTGTGCGTATGCCAATCTAGCGGCTGTAATTATATGGATCATTAAATGTATCTTTTCCTTTCTATATGGCTTCTTTATTATTCCCAGGAGGAAAATCTCTGATGTTAATTCAATATCTTCATCAGTTATTTCATATTACCATCTCCTAATTTTATTCCAGTATCCTTTTGTTTCCAGGCATGTCCACCACATGTGAAAGAAGGTGCCTTGACCGTGGCCACATTTCCAACAATTGGGATATATATTGGGATATATCTTCGCTAGTCTGGCCGGGGCTAGGTACCATCTATGAAACATTTTGTAATGGTTTTCCTTATATGCTACCGCTCTAGTCAATTTAAGATTTCTGTTCCATGCCTCCTCCCATTCCCCAAAATTTATATTGCGCCCTATATTTTTCTCCCATGAAATTATTTGGTTCTTCGTAACATCTTCGAACTTGTCATCGCTTAATAGATAATTGTATAGTTTTGCCAGAATCTTTTTATTTGTTCCCATCAAGACTTTATCCAGTCCATTTGATCCCAGTTCTAGACCATATTGTTCTTTGTCTCTCTGATATCTGGATTTTACTTGTGAATAAGTCCACCACGCAACTCCTCTGGAGCAACTTCTTTTATCAGGTCTGATAACCATTGCTGAGAACAAAAGTGGGGGTCACAGCAAAAATATTCTGAGGGTTATTATTCATAAGGACTGCTGATTCCCGAACTGAGTTGTTGTTTTTTTGTGTGTGTTTATGTGTTGGTCTATGTGTGTGTGTGTGTGTGTGTATTATAGTACTCCATGCAGGAATAGCTTGGAGCTTCTCTTTGAGAATGTTCCATCTTGCCTTTCTATCCAAATCAACAGTGTAATCATCTTCTTAACTAGGGCAGTGCAGTTCCTAATATGTTGTCCCTCATCACTCTATATCGGAGTTTATCATCTTTCTGATGAAGAGTTCTGGAAAGATTTAGAAGCTAGCCCATTTTATGAGCTCGGCTCTTTATTGAGAAAAACACAAACATTTGAACTACATCATTAGAAGAAATATTTTTGAGCAAACAAATCATACAATCATTTATATAATTCTCCTCCAGGTAAAACTTACGAAAATGTGACCGAATACCATAATGGATCCATTGTAAAGTCTAGGTAGACAGTGTTACCATAGAAGCCAAGAGGCAAATTCCCACCAATAATGAGATCACCAGGCCTGTAATAGTATTCCTGAATCTTTAAACGTTTTGGCAAGACACACGTGGTTTGCATCCTCACAGCAGATGTTGGAGAAGTTGGAGGCAAGAGCCAGCAGAGCAGCAGCAGCAGGAGAGGCAGCTCAGTCATTCTTGTCACCTTCCCTCCTAGATTAAAAAACCAAAGGTTGTGCAGAAGCTGATTTGCAGGTATCACTTGAAATCTCACCAGAGTCTCGGTGCATAGTCTGGTTATGCCACCTCGATGGCTCCAATTCAAATTTATATCCAACATGCTTCCACTTACCTGTGTTTGGCCTGGGACCAAAGAGAAAACTGAGTCAGCTGAGTCTCACCAAAGTTAGAAGTTGGCCCTTTGGAAGACACAAAAATCTCTCTCCCTCCGCAAAGAACATTTTTAAATCAGGTTTTATCTTGGAAGATTTTCATAGGTGGGAATTCATAGGGGGTACATTGAAAAATCACTGTTCTTCTGATAATTGCAAAGAAATGCAGTGGTCCTGCCCACTTAGCACTATATTTTGTTTGGTGCACCAGAAAATGAAAAACATGTTTGTGTCTCTTGTTGCTCTTCCACAGAGTCAACTATGTTGTTTTGGCTGAAGACTCCATCCACCTCCACTCTCCCCCCTTCAGCTCCAAACTGTGTCAACCTGAATTCATGTGAGAATAACCCATGATAGAAACAACCCCACAGCCAGTCAGATTCAAGCTTGACATGCAGTCCCCATTTGTTAACGTTGCCAAAGTTTGAGAAACATTGCTCTGAGATGTTTTTTTTTCTTCCCCTCACTTAATTTTTTGCTAATTGCAAATATAATAAAGTTATATTTTAATTTATTATCCTAGTCATTTTTAATATTTTGAAAATAACAGGGTCTAGGACAGTGATGGCTAACCTTTTTGCCATCGTGTGCCAGGAAGAGCGGGGTGGGGGGGTTGAGCGCATGCGTGCTCATACCCATAATTCTATGCTAATTCTAATTCTCACCCCGCTCCTGGCACACAATGGCCCGGTAGGCCCGTTTTTCTTTCTCACCTGGCTCCAGGACCTCTCTAGGCGTCTGGGGAGGGCAAAAACAGCCTTCCCCACCCCTCCGGAGGCCAAAAATGGCCCATTTGACAACTTCCAGTCCCCCTGGAAGCTGAGCTCGCGTGCCCACTGATATGGTTACAGGTGCCAGCTGTGGCACGCGTCCCATAGGTTCGCCATCACGGGTCTAGGATGAAGCCTTCAACACTGAAGTTTCCTTCTAGCTTCAAGTATATTTGTATTTCAGTGCATTTATTCCACTAGCTCATAGCATAGTTCAGCCTCCATTTTGTTCTCTTCTCTACTGGGATCCCATGCAAGTCAAGGTACACTTGCAATACATTGCGTTGCATTCCAATGCTCAAGTCAATCCACCTTTTTAAAAAAGGAGTTCAAAGTGGTTTGGTTAATTGGTTCAAATACTGTGGCTGACTCATGTCCAACATTGCGCTACTTTCTAAATTGTTGATGCCTGGGAACAAAAAAAAAAACCAACAAATTGTGAGCAAGTGTGTGTTATACTTTGTATTGTATACAAAGCCATGGGGGTGCAGTGGACAGAGTGCGGTACTGCAGGCTACTTCTGCTGACTGCCGGCTGAGTGCAATTTGACAGTTCAAATCTCACCAGGCTCAAGGTTGACTCGGCCTTCTATCCTTCTGAGGTGGGTAAAATGAGGACCCAAATTGGGGGCAATATGCTGACTCTGTAAACCACTTAGAGAGGGCTGTAAAGCACTGTAAAGCTGTATATAAGTCTATGTGCTATTGCTATTGTACCAAATCTGAAATGCAAAAAATAAGGAATTTCAAACAGGAACCTAAAAATGGTACTTCTTTGGACAGAGATGCCAAAAATGCCAGAGATGCTTCTTTGTAACCATGGAAATAAGTTTGTTTTATATGTAATTCTAATTTGTTAACCAGATCACACCACAGTACTGTAACGTAAGGAGAAAATTTTTAATATTCTTTAAATTCCATTGTACCAAATCTTAAATGTAAATAGAAGGAATTTCAAACAGGAACTGAAAATGGTACAACTTTGGACAGAGATGCCAAAGGATGTCTATGGTTCTTTGGAACAATGGAGATTAGGTTGTTTTATGATGATGATGTTATCCTTTCACTCATATCAGGTTCTTAATGATTTGATGGGGCAGGTCTCTCAACATCTTCCAATCTTGCACTACTTCTTTGAGTTTTTCTTATGCCCTGGCTGGTGTCCATTTTGACGGTGTCCAGACACCATGTTCTTTGGTGGCCTGGTTTCCTTTTACTATTAAATCTTCCAAACATAATTGCTTTCTTCAGTAAATTCCCCAGCATGGCATGGCCAAAGTAAGTGAGAGACAGTTTTGTGATTTCCTTCCAGCAACATGTCTGGAGTTATGTCCTCCAGCACTTGCTTGTTAGTCACCTTTACTGTCCAAAAAGTTGTTTTATATATTATTCTAATTAGTTAAGCACACCACATCACAATTCTGAGACTCAAGGAGAAATGTTTTAGTATTGTACTGTACCAAATCTCAAATGTAAATAGAAGGAATTTCAAACAGGGACTAAAAATGATATATCTTTGCATCAAGAAGATTGTAAAATATTTTCATAATTTTTAATAATTCATTAAATAGTGTGTCATCTGGGTACAAATTTTTTGTGTCATAACAATTAAAGCCTACCACCATATTCATTATTTATATTTACTATTAGTTTAATATTAATACTTAATACTTAGCATATTTATTATCATAACATTTCTCTTCTTAACTTATTTAACTTTACTAAACATTACTTTCATATTTATTCTCTAAGCATTGATACAATAAATTCCATATAGTAGAACAATCAGTTTCTTCCTTCCCTCTAATTGCAAGTGTTAATCTATTCATTGCTGCACATTCCAATATTTTCTTAATCACATTTTCATCTATAGGAATCTCTTCACCTTTCCAATTCTGTGCAAATACAATTCTAGCCGCCGTTATTACATTAATAATCAAGTATACAATTTTTTTACTATAATTCCCTGGTAAAATCCCCAACAGAAATATCTCAGGTTTTAAATCAATATGCTGCTGTGTCATCTTCTCCAACCACATACAAATCCTTGCCCAGTATTTTTGTGCATTTACACATGTCCACCACATATGATAATACGATCCCGGTGTCTGATGACATTTCTAACATTTAGTTGATTTATCTTTAAACATTTATGCCAGTCTTTCAGGTGACAAGTGCCATCTATAAAACATCTTACACAAATTCTCCTTGTATGTAGTAGACATTGTTAATTTATAATTTCTTAAGGAGAAATGTTTTAGCATAATTTAAATTGTACTGTACCAAATCTCAAATGTAAATAGAAGGGATTTCAAACCGGGACTAAAAGTGATATATCTTTGCACCGAGATGATTGTAAAATATTTCCATAATTTTTAATCATTGGAAGAACAAGCCCCTCTCTTATTTCATCATTGTTTAGAAATCACATCAAATTTTAAAAAGGCCCCAAAGTCAAAATAAAAGTTACTACTTTACACATAAATCAGAGGTTTTTGCACCTCATTATGTTTTCTCTCTGATTCAGATCAGGCCTCAATAGGATAATATAACACTTGGGGGAAAAGATGCAAGCCAAGAGACCAGCTGCAGAGGCCAAGATGGAGAAGATCTCCACAGCCACCATAGACTTCCCTTTAGACTTCCATAGAACTTGCTGAATCTGTACTTATACTTTTGATTTTTTTCCTGCTTAAATATGAAACTTTGCTTTTCTCCACATTAAAATTCATTTTGTTGAATAGGGCCCATTGTTCAAGTTTGTCAATATCTTTTTGGATCCTGAGCTTGTCTCCAGGGGTGTTGGCTTTTCCTGCCAGTTTAGTGTTATCTGCAAATTTGATAAGTTCCCAATCTATTCCCTCATCTAAATCATTTATGAATATTTTGAAAAGTACTGGGCCTAAGACAGAGCCTCGTGGTACCCCACTGCTTACTTCTCTTCATGTTGATGTAGTATCATAAGGATTATTCATTGAGTATGGTGGTGGTGATGTTGCCTATTCCACATTTTTCTAGCTTACTAAGAAGTAAGTTGTGGTCTACTTTGTCAAATGCCTTACTGAAATCTAAGTAGGGTACTTCTGAGGATTTTGTCCAATTCCTGCAAGACAAAATCGCTCAGATCCAGATGGGGATAGACTCTGACTGGCAGGGTCCAATGAGGGGACAGGAGCAGGTCTTGAAGGTAATATCTGGGTTGACTTTGACCCTGTTTCTTTGGAGGAAGTGGACAGGACTGTAGGTAGATTGAGTGCCAAAACGTGTTTGTTGGACCCGTGTCCCTTCTGGCTTGTTGCGGCAACCAGAGAGGTGACCGGGGACTGGATCCAGGCAATTGTGAACGCTTCATTGAGGGATGGGGTCTTCCCCACCATCCTTAAGGAGGCGGTAGTTCAACCCCTCCTCAAGAAGCCTGCCCTGGATCTGTTTTCCAGATTGACAACTTGCCTGAAATGATATAGGGTCTTCTGCTTGAGCGCCAAGGTCCCTTCCAGCTTTGTTCTGATTTCAAATTTTCATATAAATCAGAGATTCTTGTGCCTCATTATATTTTCTCTACAATTCAGATTGGGTTTAAGTAGGATAATGTAGCATTTGGGGGAAAAGATACAAGCCAAGAGAGCAGCCCCAGAGGCCAAGATGGAGAAGATCTCCACAGCCACCATGGACTTCCCTTTGGTGCTCAGGTATGTAGGGAGGAAGGTGATCCAAACACTGCAAAAGACCAGCATGCTAAAAGTAATGAACTTGGCTTCATTAAAACTGTCAGGCAATTTCCTAGCCAGAAATGCCACTGTGAAACTCATGAGGGCCAAAAACCCTAGATAGGCAAGGACAGTATAAAACATTGAAACTGAGCCTTCATTACATTCCAAGATGGTTTCTCCTACCAAAGAGTGGAAGTCCATGTTGGGAAATGGGGGAGAGGTTACCAGCCATGTGGCACAAAGAACTGCTTGGATCAGAGGACAGGCTATGACAATGCAATTGGTCAGTGGTTTTCCTAACAGTTTCCTTGTCCTGTTTCCTGGC